GTCTTTTCGCCCCATTGGATATTGATATGTGTTGTCACATTACAGCTTACTGTGCTTTAAACATAAAAATACTATCAATATATTACTTACAATATTATAATCATTCATTTTCCTTTGTGTTTCTGTGATATATATACTGATTTTGCACCTATTTGTTTTTTGTAATAAAAATGTTAAAATCTAATTATCCTACATTAGTGAATTATATAGATGTTAACACCCACTGAAGTTATACACAACAAATCATATAAGAAAGTAGCTCTCTCTGTTAGTGTTAAGGCACTCTGACTTATCTAATCATATAAATAATATCCTAAGTACAAGAAGAGGGATAGGAATGAATGGTGACCTAAATACAAGTGTCATGATCTGTGCTCTTTCATGAAGCACTAAATTAGAACTCGGTAACAGTTAACAGTTTTGTTTATTCAGAAATATTTACAAGTTATTAAAATTTACAAATAATAATGTGTGCAGTTTTCTTTTTATGTCAGTTGGAGTAAATAATAAAATACATTTACTATGAATGCAGTAAAAGAGCTTTACTATATATGCATATATAGACAGTTTTATGAAATAAAATTGTGAATAATTTGTCACTTGAACTCTTATGTGACAAATTGTAAATGAAACAGGAGTTAGAAAAAGTTTTATTGTGACTATCATGTTTCATGGAATGCTATAAAACTATATTAAAATGAAACATGACAGTCACAATACTTTTATACATAAATGACCAGTAGGTCAAGTGAAATATAATAGTATGATTAAGAAATTTATCTTAAAATGTGAAACATTATTATGAGGCAGTTACTTTGCTTTCAAACATTACACTTGTTACATAATGTATTGGATGAAATACATAAATGCATGTAATTCCAAGAAAATCCTTTTGTAATTTTTATTAATTACCATTGTGAAAGGTTTTGAGTATTTTGAATTGAATTAAACATACAAGTTCTTTTTCTGTTTTCTTTAAAAGAAGTTAAAATTAGTGCTGGATTTTATTTTTATATACCAAATTAGAGGTCAAGCCAGACTTCTAAAATGGAAAAGTTAACTCTCCCTTTAAGTGCCAATAGGGAGAAGTTTTTGAAAACAGAGAAAGACTTCACACTTCTCTACCAGATGCATTCACAGTGTGAAAACACCATTTGGTAAAGGAAACGTTTATTGAAGGAATAATTATTTCCATTACATGTGTATTTATGTTTATTTAGGGGTTAATATTCCATTACACCAGTGTTTATATATATGAATGCAGTAAAATATATACACACACACACACATATTTATATGTACATGCAACTTGAAGCATTAAATACTGATGAGAATTTTTTTGTTTGTTTCAGAAGCTAAGAATATCATTGTTTATATTTTGTAATTTGAATTGATAAATTGTCTGTCTTTATTCAAAATAATATAGTTTCAATTTCTAAATCCATTGCATTTTCCTTTTTTTTTAAAGTTACATTTTGAATGTCATTTGTGATTTGTAGTCTTAGCAGGATTTTTGTGTCCATGTACCTAGGTAATAATTTTTTAATGTATTTAGAAATTGAGCGGTGCCAAAATCCCATAGTATCTTGCACATACCAACTGAAGTTATTGTGATTCAAAACTTTGTGAAAATTTTTTGGCTTTTCTTTCTCCAATTTTTCATTGGCTTTTCATTTCTGTCCAGATTTTGACTCGGAATTTTCTGAAGGTTTTATACCTGACCAATTTGCTAGAGACATTATAAGTGAATAAATAATAGTGAATATCAACATGGGCAGCAATATCTAATTTTGATTTTATTGCAGGCTTAAAATGCAGTTATATATGTAAGTTAGTGAGTAAACACAATTTAAAATACCACTTTATGGTACATACATTGCATAATTAATGATTACTTCCCATAACAAACAATTCAATAAAAAATACAGCAATCCATATGCAAAAAAAGACAAGATGCCTTTCCCAGTCATCATTAAATACTGTTTCTTACTACACTGAAAAATAATTAATACAATTTTGTGTGTTAATACAATATACAGTCAATATTTTGTTTTGACATAAATCTTCAATAACAACTGATGAACTTAATTAGTACTGACACATCATTGGTGGAGAGACTAGATTGAATGTGCCAGTTGGCTACCTATATTATTCATGCCAAGTGTGAAGGATATGGATGAGCATATAGTGTCTTGGCAATTTTATTTGCTTATGTTGAGAGTTTTGAAGCTAAGTGTGTAATGATACTGTTTGTCACCATCACACGGGTGACCAACTGAGCTGAAAAATGAAGACTTGAATTTTACCACAGGAGGGGGGGGGGAATAAAAATCAAAATTGGAACTTTGAAGGTGAATTTTAAAGCCACTTCATCCAGTTGCATGAGCCCTGCCAAATCAAAATATCTAAAATTGAAAATTCATTTATGTATGATATAAAGATTGATATTGATAATTCTGAGTAATGTGAATTAAGAAGGTTTTTGACTTTGTATCATTGTTAATTGATCATGTTATACAAATTCTCTAGCACAATGGTCAAATATAACCCACTCTCTTACTACATGTCATATTACTTGAGCTTACAAAAGTCTTACAAAAGATTGATTTCATGTAACTGAAATGGAAGCACATAAAAATCTTCCATAATAATAGAATGAATTTGATTTTCTGTCAACATAGAATGCAAATTAATAATCAGAAATGACATAATTGTTCCTTTATCTTTAATATTTAATTCAAATAATGAAAAGATATATTCTCAAGGGTACCATTGGTTTGTAGGTAATATCTTTACAAATAATGTTTAGAATCAGTAATTATAGAACACTGTACCCCAGAATAAGAAAATTTGGGGAATTGTATATTTAAGAAATACTATTTTCAGTCTATGAATGAATCTTCATAAATATCATTTTCAACAACCTATTATTCCTTCATATGTTAATGAAAGGTATGTGTTGAAGTATGACAGTGAAATATTTAATAAATTACAAAAAAGGGGTAATTTTATTAAATACTAAAGCATAAGACAATGATGAAGAGCAACTATATATGAAAAGATGTTGATATAATACCAAGGAATGTTAAATAGATAAACACCTATAACTAATTGGTTATTTTGACATAAGATTTCGATGATTGGAATAATAAAAAATAATAATGACTGGAAACAAATTTTGATTAGTTTATGATTTTAGTGAGTCATGATGCTAATCAATTAAGCTGAACAACCTTTTTTGAATTAATTGAACTTAATAATAAAAAAATCACAATAGCAATATTTTAATTACTTAGTTGGAATAACCAAAAACAGTAATAATCAAAAACCAGTTTCAATTAGTTGAATATTTTCTTTGCATTTAGTACATTTAATCATAATTTTTATCAGTTATTTTGTGGCAACCCATGTTATCAACATTCATAGATAATTGATCTTATCAAATAATTAATTGCCTAATTTTGCTATTCATTAACACCCACTGTCACTTTTTTGCACAATCATAGCCTGAAAGTGTGAAGCACATTTTTGTAGCAACCAATTGCAAACCATAAACCCTCAAGATCATATTCTGAACATGCTAATTATTAGGCCATGTTTGGCCTCTTTTACATTCTTAAATTCTAACAAAATGAAATTAATTTTGACTACAATAGAGCTGTGCAAATAACTGCACACTTTCTATGAAATGAAAATGTACAATAAACAATTAAGCAACTTAGTAAAAATACACACACACAAAATTGTGATCTTGTACAGATAATTCAAAATAAATCCATAAGTATTTCCAGAAGATTGAAACTATTATGTATTCTTGATTCAGCATTTAATATACTTCAAATTCTGTCAGCAGAATGTGAAGAAATTAAATGTAAAACAATTTTGTGATTGACCAACTGGATGTCAAAAATCATAAAATAAGTAAAGCTGCTGTAAGTATTCCAACACCATGTTCAAATGATTATACAAGCATTTCTAAAACAACACATTGAAAGTATGAATTCACAGTGCTAGGATTTGGAAAATCAGCATAACCGAAACAAACATTTTAACAAACATTTGTGATTGTTATGCTTAGTGAGGAATATATACAAAAGTTAAGATATATAGATAGTAACAACATTTTCTCATTATCATAATTAAGTAAACCACCATAAAATAAAAAACGCATTCATGTATGTGGTCTGAGCACGAGGAAAAGTGCTGTGCACTATTGTTGGACCCTGTAAAACTGTTTTCTTTGCAGTGCTGATGTTTCACACAGTGAAGCCCAATTAACTTGCATTCATGTTCCATCAAAATGTTCGGTAGATAAGTGTGAAGTATACTTACGTAAAGTATGGGATATTTTCATTCATGAAATCTGATCAACATGCTTTGTACTACATTGTCAGTCATTCAATGGTTTCTGGTTTGATTCCCATCGCCACCAGACTTACTTGCACTATCTTTCTTATGGCAAAGATACTGAAGACTATCTGCTACTATCACGAATTTTGAACTGAAAACCAGACAAAGGCAAATGTCTTGTAGTACCAGCTGCTATTGTTTTTTCTTTTTTAACTGGTGACTAAAGGGATTCATTGCCAACCATTTTCTTTTGCTTGCTAACATGTGTCATCATTTTAGAACCATTGTACTAATTGATCCTAATGGGTTTGTGGTCAGTTTATTGACTTACAATGCTAGAAATTATAAAACTTCCTTAAAGGATTTATAATAATACATAAAACAAATATAAGATTAAATTTATATAAAACTAATTACATTTTATATATCAAATTAACACTACAACCTTCTGAACCTCCTAGAGGAATCATGCCTAAAACTATAAACTTCACATTGACAATTAATCACCTACTTTAGTAGTATCACCCACACATTCTTAAAGATGATTAAAACTCTGTTGTATGTTATTCTACTCAATAAGACCCAAGATTTTGATTATCTCACAAATATATACATGTTTTAGCTTATTATTATACAAAAATTCATTTCAGAAGTGTGGTTAAAGTTTTATGAAAATGACATCATCTCAAACTGGAGCGAGGAGTATTGTCCTTCCAGAACAGAACAGTGTCTTCAGAAACTTGAAGAATGTTAAACGATTTGCCATTGATATTGGTAAGATAAATCAAAACTATTTCTTTGCGTATCATAAAAGATGTTTTTTTTTTTTATCTATAACCGATAGTCATCAAATGAATTTTTGTAGGTTTGAAGAACTTTATATTACAAAAGAATTAGTGTATCCATACAGATATCTCTTCTAAGGCCTTGTACTGTGAACAAGTTTTAAATGAATAGGAACATTGGTTCAATCTTTTCTTCTCAGCTTAGCACATACAATACTCTGAGTTTTCCCATTACTAGTGTGGTAATCAGGTACATTGATATCTGACAGAAAAGTCAAAAGTTTATACAAAATACAAGTTTGAGGTTTTTAAGCAAAGAAGAAATTGAACATGCACAGCAAGGAAAAACAAGTGAACAGAAGTGAACAAACACACAAGATCTGTATTCACACAAATGTCTGCGATATTACCAAATTGCTGGCTTGTTTCTAATACATGGTAGCTTTTGTCTGGCTATTATGGTTGAAAATCCAAACAGAGAAGAGAGAGAAACAAAGTCCTCAGAACTTTAAAGAGACAGAATTATGGAAATACCTTATTTATATATCCAGGCCAAAATCTTAGTAAGATATCACACAGGTTCATGGATTGCACTCACCAGTCAGTGATTTACATACAATTCTAAATCATCCGAAAACAACTGTATGAGTCTACTATCTTTTGAATAGGCTGTCCTCCAAAAAACCTGTAAACACAAATGCTAGCTTGAGACTGAAGAACAAAGGTTGCAGTATGTAGTTTTCACATGTGTAAAAGTATTAGCACATGTTACAACTTTGAGACATTTGATCAACATCGATGTGATTAACTACATGCATAAACTGCAAGGCAATTTAGCCAAATTGTGTGATTATAATTGAATTTATAGTCTATTATTATCTTTGCATACAGTACAAAACTTATTTTACTTTTAGCTAAATTAAAATGAATTATATTGCAAAACAGTCATGTTTATTTACTAGCGTGTTACCCCCTGGTGGGTCAGAAGTAAGTTTATTGGCTTATGATGCTAAAATTCTGGGTTTGATTCCCTGCATTGAATATATTGCAAATAGCTCTCGCTACGTAGCTTTGCACTAAACAAAGTTAAAATGTCCTCTATAATCTACATAGCTTATGTTTATGAAATATTCTGAATTGATAGTAGTAGATTTGGTAAAAAGGAAAAATTAATGAAACTAATATATATATATGTATTTGCATAAATTCTAAGTGACTGCTTGTATTCAAAATTAAGTTGAGAAACATTACACATTTGATATTTAAGGATGTGTAAATGTAAAGGCAGTCACTGTTACTGTAACAACCAATATCAATTGGCAAGAAGTTTGTCTGTACAATATTTAAATAAAAAGTCTGTGCTATATGTTTATGATGTATAGAAAAGTTTTCAATTTTATATTAGATTTGGTTTCATTTCTATAGGAAGCAATTTTGGAGTGGTCAGGTCATTGCCACATTGGCATTTCTATGGAGGTCTGGTGGCATGACTCCCCAGAAAATTTTTGAAAATTTAATGCTATGAGATTGAATCTTAAGCCATTTTAACTACAAATACTGAATACACACAACATAATGTATTGAATTAAAAGTTTTAATACATAAGTTATAGCTATAGATACCATGAAAAAGTGGTCAGGCCATGGCCTGACTGGCCTTACTGCTTCCTACAGCCCTGAGTTTGGAACTGATTTTTCACTTAGTAACAAAACTGTGAAATTTTCATAAACTAAGTATAGTTAAAACTTGATTAGGTTTTATGAATTAAAGTTACATGTATGCAGGTGATTTGGATGATATGAAAAAATGTATTTATGTTTGCATCTTGCAAACTTGTATACACATGCACAACACGATTCTCATGAGTATAAGAAGAAAAAATTCTGCAGAGTATCTTCTGTTATTTGTATATCAGTTTTGCCTTGACTTAAAAATCAATCCTTCCAACTTGCTTCAGTTACAGTAATATTACATAAATTGTAGTTTTTTAATGTTATGTCTAGTCTGAAAATATTGCATTTTAATTCTGTTATTTTTATACACTGAGAGTTTAATGTCTTGGATGGTAGTATTTATCCCTAAATTGCAATATTTTTTAGGTGGATCTCTAACAAAAATAGCATATTACTCAACTGTTTCTTATAAAAGAGCTTCATATGATTTTCATGAAGAAACGAAAGAAGGTGTAAGTACATATCTTGTTATAAAGTCCTTCTTACTTCAGGATTTTTCAGATTTGTAAAAATCCTTATCAACCCCAGGATAGTACAAAGAAATTCAGTTACCTTCATGTAATTTAAAACACAAAATCAAGATTAAAGATATTATAACTTAATTAATAACCCTTTAAATATTGAATTGTCAGTTATATTTATAAATATTTGTTATAATTTTTTTAATTTCCACGACTGAGTTATGAAAATCATTTTGCTTTATTGTAGTAGCTGTCAGTCTTTTATATCATTCAGTGTACTACATTCTGTAAGAGATAGAAGATTCACAGAAAATATGAAATATTATATTGGATTATAATTGTATCTTCATTAGATGTTCAAACCTACCAGATTCTTATCATGCTGAAACATTCTTTCTAATATCATAGTATTTCAATAAACTTACTAGGTTGATAACTGCAGTAATAGCACCCATAAAGCATTCAAGACATACTGCTTTTATTTTTTTCAGTAGGTAATGTGTGTTAGAGCAGGGAATAATATTGATTCATAGTTCCTTGTTTTTTTCACATTAAGGAATTTTTTGGTTATCTTCTAGTATTGTCAGTGGTCACAAGTGCTAAAATAACATAAAAATAGTACACCATTCATGTGCTATTGGCTTTCATTTTGGAAAATTAAATTAAATTATTTTTTATAAAGACAGGAAAATATATTATTGATTCTAGAAATAAAAACTGTTAAGAGTAACATCCAATGAAGATAATGTCTTTGAAAATTTACCTAATAGTGATTGATATATAAGATCAGTTTTTAATATAAAAAAATTAAATACATATAAATGGAAGTTTCTAAATTTGATTGGACTTTACAAGTTAAAAATATCCAATATGTTTGTTGTTTTATAAGCTGTAAATAATTTTTTGTGTTGAGATTTGTATGGCAAAATGCTTTTAAGCTTCATAAATGTGTAAGACTGATTTAATTAAAAAGCATTAGGTCAATTAAACTTAATCAGTGCTTCAACTATTTGGTTATAATTTGGATTGATGAATTAAATGGAACTGTGTTTGGACAAGTATTTCTTTCAGCTTATTTTACCATCAGCAATAATTTCTTGCTTATAATTTGCAACAGAAAAATGATGGGGTAAAATATGAAATGGCAGAGACTGACGTGGAAGGTGCAAGATTGCATTTTGTCAAATTTGAAACTAAGCACATTGAGACTTGTTTGAGCTTTATACAACAGAATCTTGTGGGTTCTCGAGACTTTATGCAAGGCAAAACTATCAAAGCTACTGGAGGAGGAGCATACAAGTATACCGATTTGTTAACCTCAACGTTAGGACTGACGTATGTTGTCCATATCCTTTGGAAGTGTATTTTTCATTTAAAAGTACCTAGATGCATTTGAAGAACTAATATATCCTATTTTTTAACTTGTTAATTTTTTTAAAATTGACTGTGACTTTAGATGTATAAATAATAAGAGACTAAATTTGTTCTTTCTAGTTCTTGTATAGTTTGATAATTGTATATTCTTGTGAAGTTTTATGATGTAAGAAGCATTCTTGTTTCTGATATGTATATATCAAATGTATCTATGCTGTATAAAAAGGCAGTAATTGATGTATCAGTCTCCTGAACTTCAAGGACTGTTGATTTAAACCAGAAAAAAAAAAGGGAACTTGGTGGTTAGGGCACTTGCAACCTGTGAGTTGCATGAACAAAACCCACTGCCAAACATGTTTGCCTTTTCAAGTGTGGGGGCATTATAATGTAATGATCAGTCCAAGTATTGACGTATAAAGAGTAACCCAAGAATTGGTGATGTTAACTAACTGCCTTCCCTGTAGTCTTATCATTTCAAAATTAGGAACAGCTAACACAGATGGCCCTCAAATAACTTTGTGTGTTTAACAAAACAAATAAATGAACAGAAAGAAATATGCTACTTAGAAATATGTTGATTAAATTGCCCAGAACCTGTAATCTATTGTTAAGCATAGTTGGGGAGTAGATACTTTTGGCTTGCTGATCAAATAAATTAAAGCAATTTAACAACAATTCATGGAAGTCATTGTTAAATATAAACTATACAATTTAACAAAAGTGCCATTCTGTGAGTAAAAACATACAAAAAATCAATAAATATAAAGCACCTTAAAGTCTCAAATATTTCAGGTGCTATTGTTTTACTACCCTTATTTAAGGTTACTTGAGACAGCATTAAAGCCTCCAGCAGATTATTATTATATAGACATCAGTAAAAGAAAAACATCTTTGTCATGAGAGTTCTAACTTCTAAACAATGAAAAATCGGTTCTGTAAATGAAAGTTGCATATGTCGTAAATACTAACTTTGAAAAGAAATCTATAAATTCTATATACATTGTTAGAGTATCTGTAAAAAAACAAGGCATGAAAATTTACCATGGCATTGTTTAATTGACACTTATATTGGTGTATTTGCTTAGAAATAATCAGTTATTGGCTGAGGTCTTAACTGTGTCGTTGTGGACTCCAGCTGCAATGGTTAAAGAAAACTTCAAAATAAGCTTTTATGGTAATTGATAGCCCAATCAAATAAAAACACTGGAATGTAATGTCTCCTTTTTGTTACTGTAGGGTAATGTAAGGATGTCTGGCTGTTTTTATTTATTTTTGTAAAAAATAGAAGGGGTTCAGAACCCCTCCCTAGATCTGTGCTTACTTATACAACATTAAGTAAGAAAGTTATTAATTTCTGAAAAACATATGTGAGGGGGCATTGATCCCCTAGATCCCTCTCCTAGGTACATGCTTGCATATATAACATTTAAAGCATAGTTATTTTTGAAAAAAATGGTTGAAGGGAGTTTAGCCTCCTGGACTCCTTCCATAGATCCACACCTACTTATACAACATTAAAGAATAGTTATTAATTCCAAAAAAAATGGGGGTTCAAACCTTCTAGACCCCTTCCCCTAGATTTGCACCTGGAAAAACAGGATGGCGGGAGAGGCTGCACCCCTTGGAACCTTCCTATAGATTTGTGCATGCTTGTATAACCTTAAGGGATAGAAGTACATAATTATAAATTAGAAACATAACACATCATATAAAAAAACATAAATGTACAATTCATTTAATACTTAAGTAACCAGAGATTTGGTGGTACTGCTGCCAGCTAGTTGCTTTCTGTTTAGTCAACAGTTCCAAGCTAGTGACAGTGGCAGATAGCCATAGTACCTTTACTATAAAAAATATAGGGCAAACAAGTTGAGTGGCAATGAGAATCAAACCAGATATCTTCAAATCATGACCCCCCCCCCAAAAAAAAAATCATATAGTTTCATTGCTAAACAACAAACAAATATAACAGCAATATTTTGATTACTTAGATAATTGGAATAATGGAAAATGGTAAATAATTGGAAACCTTAAATTTGATTAGTTGCTTAATTTTGTGACAGTCAATTCAATCAATTTATATTGATTGATTGTTGGAACAATCAAAAACAGTAACAACCAGAAACATTAATTGATTAATCATAATTTAAATCAATCAATTAGTTTATGAAACATTAATCAACATAATCTCTACTTATAAGTAATCAATTATACTGATCAGTCAATTAAATTGCTCAACTCCACTTAAATTCACAATTAAATTAAAGAACATTTTTTTACAGACTTATGTTGAAGGTAATTCTGAGAACAAATAGGTTACTCAGTTTGCAAATATATGTTGTTTTTTTGTTATAGGGTAGATAAGGAAGATGAAATGGAATGTCTTATTAAAGGTTGTAATTTTTTGTTGAAAAATATACCAGATGAAGTATTTCAGTACCGTCGCCATGGTAATCCAGAATACAAATTCTCTAGTTTGGATCCAAATGTATTTCCATACCTTCTTTGTAATATTGGTTCAGGAGTTAGCGTAATGAAGGTAAGTGAAAACAGTAAATCTCAATTTTTATTGAGCTACAGCAGTCATTTGTCAAACAAGTGATGTAGTGAAATTTTTAGGCAGTATAAAACACTTCTACGTAAGCACACATCCTAAAAGCAGCATCTTTTGGAATGTTCATTGTCAACAAAAGTCATACGTTTTTGATTTTGTGATAATGAACATTTTTAGTGTAATTTGTGAATCAAATTATGAGAAAAAGAAAAAATACTCTTTCAGTGAAAAGTTTGATTTAAAATTATATAAAGTATGGTAGAATAAAATGTGATTAATTTTTTGGTGATTTTGGTGATGCCGTGTAATTGTTTTATTTCTTGCAGGTGGAATCTGAATCCAGCTATGAACGTATTGGGGGATCAGCTATGGGAGGAGGAACTTTTTGGGGTTTAGGCTCTCTTTTGACAAATGCTGAAGTAAGCAATTACCTGAGCTTATAACTGATAGATCAATCAATTTAGATATTGACTTGTTTCCTTATTTTACTTTTCAAGTTGATTAACCCTATGCTAAGAAATGGGCCAAGGTTGAATACATCATGATCTTTTACAGAGTTACATTCACTGTTTAATTACACAACTTTATTATCAATATATGTAAATACACTTGGCATCAAAACATAGTTTATAATTCAAATCTGTCTATTATTTAAGGGTTAATTTCTTCATATTAAAAAGAAATATTTAAAAATTCTCAGTCTTCACTTTTTTGTGCCATGTGACACATCTTTGCTCTGAATCGTCTTCTTCAGATTTTATATTTTCAGTAATACAGCTAATACATTGTTCAAACAATTAGAAGCATATGCTTTACATAATTAACAGAGAAATCCCTCCCACTTCTGTCTTTCAAGATAATAATATAATCATATGTACACGGCTGATGAACATGTTTTTAACCAATACAAAGAACCAATTCTTCTTTCTTTTTCCAGCAGAAAAACATAGTCAACAGAATTTATTGCTTGTTGATGTACCAAATCTAGTTCTCTGAGCATTTAAGGAATTCTTTTAGCCTATTTATAGCATACCTAGAAAGCTAGATAATTTATAGTAGCTTTGGAAGATTCTGTTTTACATACTGACACATATTTTTTGCTCTAAAATGCATATTTGAAAACTAAATGAATTCTTTTTTTGGACATCTAAATTTGATAGACTCAGTGAGGCCTACCAAGAATGTTACCCAAACACAAAAGCTGCCTCAATTTTGCATGAGCACTAAATGGAGCTTCTTATGTGTGTGTGTGTGTGTATGTATGTATGTATGTATATAAATACTTTTTATATGTCTTTTCAAAAAGCAATAAAAATATGAAAAGTAGAAACTTCTTAGGTTAGGTAGCAAAACTTAAATAACATATGTTTAAAATTTCATGAACTCAGTCAGTGGGGAAGATGAGGTTGTAAAATGCATTTGACTTTAGTCTGATTATTTGTTTACCCATATCTCTACTGAATACATCTAAATGTGCTTCTGCTATAATTTACTATTTTTCACCAAAGAACAGCACTAGAACCATGATATTAAAAGAAAGCAGACATGAAGAGACTAGAAACTGAGGGTGTTAGGATAAGTAATTGTTATATTCTGTTACAGTCTGCAGTCATTCTAAAAAAAGACAAATGGTATTACTCATTTTATTTCATATTTTTCAAATTTTCATTTCACTGTACATTGGTGATTTTGCTACAGTTAGTGTTAGAGTAGAGAAAATGAGATAAAATATAAAGTTTTACTGATAAAAAAAACTTTGGATATTAATGTAGGGGGCTATAGAGGTTATACAAATGAAATATGAAGCTGTAGGATGAAAATAAATTTTTTTTCTTAACATGAAAATCATGTTTCACTCAGACTCATTAAAGGCTCTGCAGACAAATCTGTAGTAAAAGCTTTATTAAAAAAATCTGATTTTATGTGTACAACGAACTTGTAATGTTTACTAAAAGCTTGCCAAATTTTGTGAAGATGCACATAGTACATTTAGAGTTATAGTACTGTATGTATAATTTTGTGGTTACAAGACAAGTCAAATTGACAATCTGTTTACAGAGAGCTAACCAATGAGAGCATTTATTTCAACAATATTTAAGTTTTTTGTCAAAATATTCTAACAATACTGATTCTTTTCCCTTAAAACATCAGACTGATTCTTTACTTTAATAATTTGATTTATTATTTAGTTTCCTAATGATGTAACATATTTTGCAAAATACTGATTTATCTTTTTTTTAAAAACTACAATACATAACTTAGATACTGTAAAATATTATTACTGTATCTAATGCTTTCTACTAACAACATGGCTTATCCAAACTTTCTTAGATAACTAGAAAAAATATGCTTGAGCATCTAAATATAGAATCTTTTAACCACCTAGCAACTCCTCTGAGTGGTAACTTTCTTATTAAAATATTTCACTTGCATATTCTTTTTCAGTACCTAAAGTTAAGGTGTTTGAGGCTGTGATGTAAAACAGTAATTATTCCACATTTTTTTTTGGAAGCAGCCAGTTTGTTTGCTTCACAAATGTTACCAACTTCTGAGAATGGGCACTCAGAACACACACACCTACTACTGTGAGGAAGAAATCTTCGTGCTAACTTGAATAGTATTGAAAATATGTTTTTATTCAATTTCTGCCACAACAATGGATTAGTTGTCACTTTATATGTGATAGAGTTAAAATTAATTTCATTAGCAACAACTACTTCATTGTTTGACCAGTATAATTAATTCCACAGGTGCCTACAGATATTTTGCTGTAGCAATCCTGTAATGAGTTACTTGTTTCGTTTTGTAAACTTTTAACAAATGGTAATACTAATGGTGAGGAGTCATCTGTGTCACTTCAAATATATCTGTAACCACAATTGATTGTGAAATTGGCAGTGTTAGTGCTTTCTCCACAAAACTTTTTCATTGCTTGGTTTGTTTCCCTCAGAAAAAAATGATACTTTAATGAGAGGGTCCAACAAAACAGCTAAAGTGAAAGCTGGGTTGCTTTCTATTCCAGCAAACCTATTTTGAGTCCTTCTCTCAAGGATACTCTCATTGTTACTGTCCAAAGTGGCTACTGTTATCTTTCAACAGATATTTATGAAGACTAGCCCTTTGGAAGGATAACTTCTGGAATTACCAAGTCTGTGAAGTTAATGGTTTTAGTAATTTCTTCAAATGGTTATAGGAAGTTCCAAATTTTCTGTTGTTAAGACTGGTAATGATGATGTAAGTGGTATGAAGGAATGAATATTGCTTTCTTATTCCAAAATTATTTTTAGGAGATATGTTGAATCACTACCCCCAAGAACATACAGTCTTCACACTGTTACATCTCACACTTGCAAGGGTTGGTTGTAAAATTCGACCATTAGCTGTGTTGTTCCCTGGTTGTTGAGGATAAAGTTCTCATTGTTTGATATTATTAGTGTTGCTTTGATAGACTTGGGTGTAAGTAAAATACTTCATTCTTAGTATTGTAGTGTGTTTTGCCTTGTTAAAATGCCTTGTAAAGGTTGCATTTGTGGTTGTAAATCAAAGTATACAGTAAAGGGAAGGCTTAGTAACTGTTCAGCTTTTATGGGGATGATGAAATGAGAAAACAATATGTAAGGAAAATTCAACAATTCTTCTCATTTGAGGGATGCATTGGTGTGCATTATTCATTTTAAGGATCAGTTTATTAAAATGGAAAATGCCACTAAAACTTAGAGTACTGTTGAGTAGAAAGCTTCAATATTAATGGCAAATGCATTTGACTAATTTTAGAAAATACACTAAAATATCTTAACCACATAATTTCTAAAAACAAAATATTTTCAAACAAGAGGAAATTAAAAGCTGAAATGAGGAAAAAGAGCATAATATTGTGTAGTTTAATATTAATCACAATCATATTGCTTCTTTTTCTGACTTATTGCCTAAAAGTTTATAAGATAGATCTCTTTAGAAATGTTTAATGAGAGAACATTGCCTCTCTCAAAATGATAAGATCTCAAAAGCAAGTCATTCAGGATTGGGAAGGAGAGGCATTTTTGTCAAAAACAGTGTTGTCATGGAAGAAGAAGATTGCAAATTTCAAGTATAGAAATAAGGCAGCCTTTCTGCTTGGAAAAAAAGTTGCTGGTCACAATCACCAATTACTAAATGTTTTATCACTGCACAACATGAAATGTTCATTTCCTGACATGAATTCATTCTTAACTCTTAATAAACTGATAAACATATACATATTAATGGAGAGAAATAATGCATGAGGCAAAAATCCTTTGCTTCATTTTTGTTGTTTTATTAATGTAACAGCCATTATTTTCGTGTATATCTATGTGGACTACATAGATTTGATCTCCTACTATGTTAATATCATTTACTTTGCTGTAATTGGTCCTATAGTTTTGTCACTATTTGAACAAATGCTTTACAATCATTTGCTAAAAGAATACCTGTGGAGGAAGCAAAGGCATCACAACACTTTTATTGCTGGTATTTTATTACTTTCTCCAAATGTATTGATTAAACTATGGGTGGGAATGTAACTGTATGATACTGCTCTTTGGACTCAGAAGTAATTATAGAAGGCATGGTACACGTGTTTCCAATGTGCATATAAAGTTTGAACATGGTACTTGTAGTCTAAAAATAAAATGTCACCTGTAGCATTTCACATTCTATCCAAAAAGTATTTTTAAGATAAACATTTCTTGTGATACATAATTTACTGTATAAATGCTAGCACATCAACTCTAAACCCAGTCCCGCCGACAAAGGGGGCAACTGCCCAGGGACCCTGGGCGAATGAAACCTGGTTATGCCGTAAAGCCCACAAAGCATCTTTAGGCTATATCTTCATTTAATGATAAAAACCATAGTTTTTGGCTTTTCTTTGCATATAGATGCTTCATACATTAAGAACGACTGAAATAATAATTTGAGTAATAATTAATATGTATTTGTTACTTTATAGATTTAATAGATATTTGTTGTTACGTTTTTACGCTTATACTGTGAGGTAAAAATGGCTGCTGCTATGATTTTGTCTGGTTTATGAGATCGTTGCTGTCCTAATTTAGGATCTTCTTTTTAATAAATTTTTGAAAATGTTAAAAAAGAGAGAGAGAAAGGGGGCCCGTGCTGGCTCTCGATATTCCTGTCTAAACCACTATGATCAATGTAACTATCATCATAATATGCTTGAGCATGCTTTGCATTTTTGACAGTGAAATAGAAGGGGCCTACAGCAGATTACCTCCATTCACATGCCAGCCAACAAATCTCGAAAATGATTGATTTTATCTAATGCCAGACTGACAGACTGTCTCTACTGGTCAACTATCTTTAGAAACAGTCTCTGACTGGTAATTACTGGTTAATAGAAATGCTGAAACAAGGGCTTTAGATACCATGGTGAGTGGGAGAACCAAATAGAGAGTGTGGATGACTCTAGAATGAAGCTGTTTGATAATCTTATTGTCTGACTCAAAGTTTGGGCTGATTTTCTATCTAGAGGACCTACAAATGTGGGTAAACTGACCAAAGAAACACTAACAGCTTTTAAAAACACTTGCTATGCTGTGAAACATGTATATCTGAATATCTTTTGAAAGAGTGCAGAACTGAGTATGTGCTTTTAGATAAATTTCAGAGTTATGATGTAAAAGTATACTTGGCCAGAATTTCTCCTTCATGGGCAGTAATTACTATGTTTTTTAAAGCAATTCTTGAAGATGAGAAGAAGCTCCTTATTATGAATGTGCTCTGGCTTCATTCTAAATGATTAGATCAGATAAAAATTGTTTATATCTTTTATGAATACCAAATGAATTCTCTATCATCATTTTCAAAAGAAAATGAAATTTTGCATAAGTGGTCCAGTATAATTGAATCAGATATGTTTCAGAATATTCCTAAGAATGACCTTCAAATGCTTGTGTGTACATGTCAGGTTATTCTGCTAAACAAGGTTGTAATATTTGCACAGGTTGTGAATATTACATGCTTATTATGTCTGTACTCCAGTTTGAAATATCAACAGATGGCAAAAATGTTTTCTCTTATACAACACATACACTTTGGAGACTGAAATGGCTATCAATTATTTGTTTTAACTCTTACTTACTGCCACAAAGTACTTTTAGAGCTATGTTCTTATCAGTTTGAGGAAAAGTTTAAGTCATCTTCGTTGTAAATAGTTGTCATCCTTGCTAAACAAACATATCTCCTTTGATCTGTGTATTTAATAACTGAATGATAATTGTCCTCTTTGCTGCAAAACTAGAGCTTCAGATCTTGAGAAAAATCCATAGAAACCTGCGCCAAGATACTTTCTATTAACAAAACAAAGGCTATGAAAGACCAAATAGCAGAACAATCGAAGAAAAGAAAGGCTACAGCTTTGGAGTTCCTAAATAGCAAAATTTAAATATATATTAGCATAAGGTATGTTGTTCAAACACTGAAATTAAATATTTATAAAAATGTTAATTAATGCATATCTGTGTTTTTTAATTATATATGAATTCCAATAAGTTACACAATGACTAATAATAATACATCAATAACACCAATAATAATGGGATAAATACTAACTCATTATTATCAAGTAAACCATTAAAATATTTCAAACTCAAGCATTAATATCTTTTTAGAACAATTCACTATAGATGTAGTACTGGGCATATGGGTAAAATAATTCATTTTAAATATAAATTAATGCATTTTTCCTGTTAATTACACTTTAAATGATACATTAATGTAAATCTTTGCTTTATAGATCCTGAATTTTTTGTCTTTTGTATTTTACTTTTTTTACCTTATGTTTATTTATTTGTTCATATCCAAAATACTTGTTCTTTTTAACAATTTAGTTTTTGTATACATTTATTTCTATTGATATCCTGTTTGATAAAAAGAATTATAGTAAACACTTTTTGTGAATACAAAGTAATGTAAAACGGAATCTCTGTGTGCTCTTAACATGCATACATATAAGTGAATGTAGTTTTAACTATGGAATGTTGGTCAAGGAAATGGCCAAGTTCCTTTTGTTCTAGTTACTTATTGTTCTGGATCATTCACCTCTAATATCAGATGAACATTGTCATGGGAGAGATTTCTGTATAGTCAAATATATTATTTGAATTTATTCAGTGATCTTTTCCACTGGTGGGTCAGGTATTATGTTGATAATATATCCCTTATTTTTCAGTGAGTTAGTGTTTTTCTGCCTAAGCAAAATATATCTTTATATTTGCTAAGAAACAAAGAATTATTCACATCTTATTTCTAATGATTTTTCTTCTCTCTTAGTGGTTTTATTAATGTAGCCTTTTGTTATGATGTTACAGCATGTGGTCTGAACAATTATTAATAAAGATCAGCTTGTGAAATAGTTGTAAATAACATTTAAATACAACTTAATAGAGCATATTATAAACTATCTATGTCAATGTAGAGTAATAAAGTGGTTTAATTAATATTGTATGGTTTCTTGATATACTGACTATCCAGAGATCTTGAAGGGGTAAGAAAATGATCTAATGGGAAGTAGAAGACTAGTAACACACCATATATGTTTTTTTTTTTAAATTACACTTGGCTTAGAATTTGGATCATACATTTAATATAGATGGGAACCTTTTCAGTAGTATGATTAAAGAAAATGGTTTTGGCATAATAGTAAATAGGTCACTAAAATTATCGATTCTGTGTTGCTAGTTGTAAAGCTAATAGAATTTTAGATGTAATTATGGAGATACTGATTATAAGTCGAAAAAGGTTGTTGCCTCTTTATACAACACATTAGTTAAGTCTCACTTGAAATACTGTGTACAGTTTTAGCATCCTTATCTAAGAAATGAAATTAACTTAGTGGAAAGGATTTGGAGAAGGGCTACTGGAATGATTCTAGGGGTGGAAGGGTTACCTTATAGGAATAGGTTAAGATCTCATATTTTATTTTATTTTGAGAAGGAAAGGGTAAGAAGTTATGTTATTGTAGATTACAAGATTATTTGGTAGATCTGTAAGGTAAAGGCCTCTGATTCCTGTATTTTGAAGATGGTAGGATTAAAGGACACAAGATTAAGATTTGGAAGACAGGATAGGCTACAGTTAATACACTCTTATTTTTTCTAACAGAGAGTTTGACTTATGGAATGAGTTGCCATTAACATTATTGGAGACCAGAACTTTACATGAGTTTAAGAAGGGAATCAGTGATTTCCTGGAAAATAAAGAGTGGGTTTAAATGTTAATTTTTGTAAAGGATCTTGTGCATGGACAGCCTTGAAGAACCAAATAGTCTTCTGTTCTCCATATGTTATGTAGCATGTAATAATAGTTGGTTGTAAAACTAAGTGATACATATTTTATACCTTTCTTTAATTAAGTATTTATTAAACAATATAGGGTTTTGATGAGCTTTTAGAACTGGCAGAAAAGGGAGATCACCGAAACATCGATATGCTTGTGAAGGACATCTATGGAGGAGATTACTGTGGAATGGGCTTACCCAGTGATTTGCTAGCTTGCAGTTTTGGAAAAGCTATTCATTCAATAAGAGACACCAATTTTAATCGGGGTGAGTAACGTAAAAAGGTTCCTTGTGAACTATAATGGAGAGTAACAGTATTTTATATATATATATATATATGTAGATGAAGTTCAACTCAGCATCTTTGAAACTAGTCTTAAAAATTTCCTGAAATAATAAACTTAATGAAAAGTGAAAATCCAGGAAGTAAATGTTTTTTCAAACATCTAATAGTTATATATGTTTATTTTCTTAACAAGAATCATTTTTACATTTGGTTCACTAATATATCTTTTATGGGAGTAATCACTTTTACTTTTAAGATTCTTTCATATGCATATATAAATAAAGTTTTGGCACACTTTGCATTAAATCCTGACTCATAATGATTTAAACTTGCTGAATTAGTTTTATATTTTTGATGAGATGTTAGAATTCAGTTTTAAGTGCAGTTCATCAGACAACAAATATATTTGGAGTTATTTTGTTCCATTCTCAGAATACAGCTGATGGCAGCTGTAAGTGCATTTTATTGGACAACCATTGGGATACTAAAATTCAGTTTTCATCATGAGATATAATATATTGGGGGAGGATATTACAATGAATATTTTAAATATCGTATTGGCCTGATTATAAGGCAGTGTTTTTTGATTAATAATTAGGCTGTAAAATTCATAGTTGCCTTATAATTATGACCAACCACAGGCCCCTTCCTCCTACTCTAGCCTGTCACATTCCTGAATGTCCAAATAGCATCTGTCTATGCGTGCGTGCCAGATGTTTGCTCAAGATCGTCGCTAATTCTTGCAACTAATCCACTTGTAGGCTGTTCAGTTATAGTATTGATTTTGCAGACCTAAAAGAGGATGTTATGACACTCACTTTTTTCTTTCCCATGGTTTCTGAAAGTGGGGTCACCTTATATTTGAAATCACCCTATAATCAGGCCAATACAGTATTTACTTTTATTTTTCCAAAATCACAAGTTTGTTGATATTTCTGTTATCTTTGGTAAAGAACTAAATCTATTCACACAAGTACAATGACTGCAATACAGAATGTAGCAAAATAGTCTAAGGTAACATTTGAGTTATGAATAAATTTGATGATTGGTGTTATAAAATGATTGACACTCTTGTAAAACATCTAATAATAATATTTTATTTTTTGTGTTAGTGGATGAGAACCTTGTAATTTTGAATATAAAAGTCTTAAAAAATCCATGTGATGTATTTGCTTTTTCATGTTAAGCAAATTGGTTTTGTTGTTTACATATGATAAAAAGGTTTATTGTTAAGACATTATTTTTATTCCCCACCCCCATTTTCAAATTTTCTTATGTGGATATTGAAATGAAATTGTTTTACATGTTTTATACTAAAACAGGACATTTTGAGGATGGTGATATTGCTCGTAGTTTGTTGTTTATGATCAGCAATGATATAGGACAGATAGCTTGCTTGTATGCCATGATGCATGGCCTAACCAGAGTGTACTTTGGTGGCTACTTCTTACGTGGGCTACCCCTCAGCATGCATACCATCTCATTTGCCATTAACTATTGGAGTAAGGTGAGCAAATCTCTGTATTAATGACAGCTGTAGAGGAGTTATACTTGTTCTAAGATAAATGTCACAGATTTGTCACAGGAACATAAAGATTCTGTCATGAATTAATGCTACATAATCTTTAGGATGCATTGTAAGATCACAGGTGTGAAACATGAAGAAATGTATGATATAGAAAGTATGAAATTTAGTCATTAGTAAATAGGAAACTTGTATATAAGTTGTAATTGGGTGTTTTATTAAATACTGTGTTTGAAATTGTTCTTGTGATGTAGAGTTTAATGATTTGATCAATTTACCTTGACTTTATCATTTAGACATTTGTACAACCACTTAAACTGCTTACTTGAGGCTGATCTGTGGGAATTTTTGCAAACTGTAGATTGGCATGCATTGAGTACAGATATCAAATACATGTAAAAGTAAAGTTTATCAAATAAAATGAACAAATATAAGTGATTTGCATTTAAAAACAGTAATCTAAGTTATCTAGGATTACTTGTACACATTTTATAATTTGCATTCCTGGTTTGAGAAACCTCAAGGAATTTCATTTTACAGGACAAAAAGCAGGAAGAATCAGTGACATTCATATAATTCAGTAATACTTTTGGGACATGGATAGTGAAAAACTAAACTATCATTAGTGTCAAAGAAAATCAAATACAGGTTAATTCTGGTGCATTTAGCATGTCAATAGATATATATTTTATGCATAAACATTGTATTGTCTACATCAATCCTTTTGTTTACTGTTAATTTTCATGGAGTATGAAGGCAGCCATTAACCCTTTCCATACAGGTCATTGTTGAAAGGCCATGTCATCGCATTTGTTGACTCACATTCAAACGTTTAGTGAACTTTATTTCATAAATTTATGTCAATAAGCTTGGTTTTAGTATTATACATTACTCAATTTCTTAATTGAAAAGTAAATATTAAAAAACACAGTTAAACATTGATTTTTGTGTGTTATGTGGTATGTTGAATGCAGCACTGGTTCAAATTAGATGTTTGTGATGTCATATACTAAGTCTATAGTTTTATACGAATTAGGAACTCAAATTACTGATAATGACAAGCTAGAATATAAAATAAGAAACTTTTATATTTTCTATTTGCTAAGATATTGTTCATGTAATAAATCAAACACAGTGGCACCCCGCTCACCTCTTTCCATTTTTTGGAAATACTCCTTTATATACACTTATTTATATATGACATGAATAACCAAATGAAAGCCCATAATGTCCCCCTAGTGGCTTTCTCAGCAATTTTAATGTGTTTGGATGCCATCTCTTTCTTTCTATCCAAGATTTCAAGGAGGTAGGTTGTTTTTAGTCTGCTCAAAATTTCATACTTCTTAGACTGAAATACAGCTTAGTTACTAAGCTTGATAAATTATAGTGGAATTCTGTGGTATTGATATAGTAATTTATGATTTTTTTAGTTATTCTACTGTATATATATATATATAAAACCTAAAAAAAGATTTTGTTTCATGTCCTCCATGTGTGAAATTTTAAAGACTTAGCAACCTGTGTCAAGCAGCAACCAAGTACAAGGTCGTTACTAGAGGAGATAATTGGTTACTTTACTTCTTTATTTATTAGCAATCTTAAACTTCTCCACAAATTTTCTTGAATTAAATGTGTCATCTGTTAGGCATGACTCTGAGACTGAAAATATACTGATTGAAGAAATACAATGTTCACATTTAATGAGTAAAGACTGTGAACAATTAAAACAACTTGTGTTGAAATATGCCAATATTTTTAACAATAAACTTGGCTTCACAGATTTGTCTAACAAATTATTGTAACCACAAAAGATTAGCAAGTGTTTAGTAAACCTTATTGTTATTCTCCCACTAAATTACAAGTGCTACATGATCAAGTGGATGTAATGCTTCGTGATGGGTTAAGTGAACCTTTTACTTTTTCTTGGGCTTCTCTAATAGTTATTGTCAAGAAGAAGACTAATGACTTTAGGTTTTGTGTGGACTACAGGAAATTAAATCAAGTCTCATATAAGTAATATTTTGAATGATCTGTCAGGGGTAACCTGTATCGGTATGTTAGACTTATCGAGTGAATATTGGCAAATACCTGTTAAGATGAAGGATCGACATATAACTTCCTTCATAACTGTCTTCAATTTAAAGTGATGTCCTTTGGTCTTAAAAATGCAACTGCTACCTTCCAAAGACTTATGGATAAGGCTTTAGCAGGAGCAACTGAATGTTCCAAGGCTTATATTGATGATGATATAGTGTTTTCACCCACATTTGAACAACACTTGAAAAAAACTTGAACTTGTGTTCTACAAGCTACATACAGCTAATCTTACTGTAAAAGTTTCTAAAAGCAAATTTTGCTAACCAGAAGTATCATGTTTAGGATTTAAACTCTTCTGAGGGAATACACACAGATGGTGACAAAGTGAAAGCTGTTACAAATATTCCCAACTCTCAAAAACTGCCCTATCTAGACATCCTATTGACCCTCTAGAAGAAACTCCAGAATTAGACATCAATAAGCTATCACCTAAACTTTTTGCCATTGTCAATGTTAACACTAGAGAGCAATTGGCTACTGAACAAGCTAAAGATTATGAATATAAGCATATATACTCTTATGTGAAAACTGGACTATTACTAGATGATTCTACTGTAATTGCAGAGACTGTAAGTAAATCCAAACACTATGTCTTGAATGATAATGTTCTTTATTACACAAAAATGGTTGCCAGCAATGGTTACTCCCAAAACATTGAGAATGGCAATATTAATTGAATTGCATAATTATCCCATGGCTGGTCATCTGGGTGTCCAAAAAAACAATAGACAAAAGTATCCAGATGTGGTTATTGGCCTGGTATGAGAAAGGACATTACAAATTGTGTGTTGTCATGCCATGTTTGTCAAACCACTAATTTGATCAGAAGTGGCCAGCTGGATGTATGCAAAACACTAAACTAATGGAACCTGGTGTGATAATATGAGTAGACATCATGTAACCTTATGCTAAGTCTAGTACAAGAAATAGTTATTTGTTGGTTGTGACAAGTTATTTCAGTAAATGGGTTGAATTATATCCTTTCAAACAAATAACTGCGAAGGTGATTGTGAAAAAACTAATTAATGAATACTTGAATAGATATGGTATTCCAAAAACTCTTGTACCTGATAATGGCCCACAGTTTGTGTCTCATTTGATGGATGAAGCTAGTAAAGCCCTGGGAATTAAACACATCTTTACAACTCCATATCACCCTCAGTCTAATGTTACTGAAAGAGTAAGTAGAAATATTGGTAGAATAATATCTGCTTATATTGAAAAAAATAATCGAACTTGGGTAATAATTTACGTGAATTTTCTCTAGCCATTAAAATTTCTGTATATGAGTCTACAGGTTACATGTCAGCCAAACTCCACTTCGTACATGAGATCTTCCTTCCTTGGGATCAATTGATGAAATACCCAACAGCACCTCAAACTGTAGATGAACGAACAGCAGAATTACAAGATGTTTTACAGAGGGCAAGATCCAACATTGAAAAGGCTCAGAAGTGAAAGCGACAAGCCTACAACCAGAAGAGATGCCCAGACACATTTAAAGTAGGTGATTTAGTATTATTAAGGGGACACATCCTTTATCTTCTGCAGTAAATCATTTTACTGCAAAATGTACTCCGAGGTGGAATGGACCTATCGAAATTATGAAGAGTGTTACTCCATTAGTGTGTGAATTAAAAGATCCTAGGTCAGTTGCAGTTATAGGACAGTTTCATATTTCTGATATAAAGAGATATACATATATTTTCCCAGTGACAATTCTCTCGACAGTGAAGAAAATAATAATCGTCCTAGCAAAAGGGAAATGTTGATTACAGAAAACTTGATGGTCACCCCCCCCACCCAAGAAAAATGAGCTTCTGATAGTGTGTCCACTTCTTATCCTTCAACAGATCCTGCTGATGACTTACCTCTATCTCCTTCTCAAAGGACATTGTGACCATGTTGCAGAGTTAATTATCATAGTTAGCTGGTCTTAAATGTTTGGTAAGCTGAACCAAAACCAGAAGCTATAGAAGATCAAGTTAAAGATTCAAAAACATGAATTGTAATTTTCGTGTAAGAAATATGTATGTAAACTATAAAGGATTGATGATGTCAGTATAAAGAGGGAGTTGAGAATAAGGATATGAAAACTGGGATATTTTATACAAAGTGATTAATGTCATCAGTTCATTTTTCAAGGGAGAAAGAGAGTGAGATAATAGATTCTTTTTTTTTATGGTTATGGTTATCGTTCATTTATTATTTCCTTCTATTATTTAGTTTATCTATGAATTTTTAGTTGCATTAAAATGCTAACTCACCTTCTAGCTAATCATTTGTATTTTGAGTAAATATATATATATGATGAAACAGACACCAGCTTCCCTAGCAGTGATGTACAAGTACTATTAACATAGCAGAAGATTATGTAAATTTATGATCACATAAGGTGTACTCTTGTGATCTACTCTATGAATAAATACTTTGCCAGAAGCTTCACTAAGAGAGAGAGTCACGAGAAAGTGAATGCAAAAGTTAGTGAACAATTGCTGTTTATCACTCGATATTGTTATTAATATTAAAAGATATTAGGTTTACTTCTTTCTGGTTCATTTTCCTGATTCCATTATTTGAAATAATATTGATATTTGTGATATATTGTTAATTAATATTAGTGTGAAGTCCTGGCCAGGCATGTGTTTATTAACTTTGTTTTGATAAGTGTTTAATTTATTTCTAAGTGTTATTATAGATGAATAAATTGCATTTTGTTGTTGTTGAACCCTGATTGTAGCGGTGTGTTTATATTAGACTGTTACAAGAAAAATAACAGTGTAGGTAAAAGTATGAAAAATGGGTTTTCTCATACATAGTGGATGGATGATGTCCACCATTTAATGTATAAATAAGTGTAATATTATAAATCTTAGTGATGGGATAAATGTTTCAGTTGAATATCAAGCAAATGATACAACATATTAGTGGTATATTTTAACTACCATGATTTTTTTTTCTGATGTATTGAATTGGTAGGCAATCATTTTGATATTTTTGTTTTCATAGAGAAATTGTGTTTCTTTAGTATAGATTATTTTGTCTGAATATATTTCAAAACTAGAAAATATATCTTTAATAATGATTATTATTATATATATATATATATATAAATAGGGTGTAGTCTTTCTATTTTTAATGACACTTAAAGTTGAGAAGTAATGTTTTTACAGTTTTGGTTGTACTGTTTTATGTACAGAATTTATTACTTATTGCAGTAAAAAATATTTAATGTTTCAATATTTCTCTAATTTTTAGTGAATCATGCACAAAATATGTGTATATATCTGTTTCAGATTTATAAATCTACAGTTGTTCTCTCTTTTTGTATTTTGCCAGGTTCTGTCTACTCACCATTCATAATCAGGCTTGCCAATGTTTTTTTTTTTTTTTTGTAAGTTTTTAAAATTTTGAGGTCACCATTCTATTATAGTGGTTCTATTATTCTATTATTTTGGTTATAGTAATTGAAATCAGCTTTTTAACCTGTAATGCTCAAAGACCCCTCATAAAAGAGCATAATCTGAAACACCAGGGTAAATAAAAATAACTTTCTCTGTTTATTACTAATACTTATCAGAGTATCACATTTATATATAGGTTTATTCCTTTATAAGTATATGATAATAAAACAGTCACTTAGGCTTAGAAAAAAAGCTTTGTTTCCTCTTACATGCTAAACAATAGGGTAGGTAGGTACACATTTATTTTCTTTTTTACTTTTTTTTATGTCCTTGAAAATATGGTATGTAGGTAGGTGAAGTGTTGGGCTGAATGGATTTTGTCACTGTCTCTATTGCTATACTGGTGCTTTCAAATTCTATGGGTCATTTTGGTTTAGGCTGACAGTGAAATTAAATTGGTTTGACACCGAACATGTCTACCAATTGGTTTATCCCAATGTCCATTAAAGCTTTGCCCAGATCAACATGTGTTAATGTCTGCTCATAATCATTCGAATCTAGTTTAGGATGGTACAACTCAAATGCATCTATAACTGTGACACTGTGTTTTTTTAGGGAAACTTGTGGGCATTTGTTAAAGGTGACAGCCAATATTCTAGTTGCTGTGATGAAATGTTTGACATTGCCTGAATGGAAACTCAGCTATAATTGGTTGAGAGCATTGACACATCACACCAACTAATGAATCAGAAATGTGGTTTCTTACGACTTTAACCTTGCACAATATGGTAGCAGATTGGTGCAATAATTTAATGAAAATAAAAAAATTAACCATGGGGTGTTTTTCATTAGGACTGGTCAGAAGATGAATTTTTTTTGGTGGTGGTGGGGGAGAGGGGGAGCATTGAAAAAACTTTAGGGTCAGGCATTTTTACGTAGGGTTGGTCTGGTAACCAGAAACAAACTTTTTTTTTCTAGGCCTTAATTCTTTTGTTCCTCTTTACTGTAATTATTAGACATATTCATGCAAGTTTCTGGTGATATTTCTGGAAAGGTTTTATTTTGAATTCTTAAAATAAAATTGAAACTAATAGTATAGAAATTACATCACTTTTAATTAGGAACCCTATTATGAATCCACAGTTATTCTGAGGAAATTTAAAAATAGATTAATTTATATTGTTTATAAGGCACTGAATTTATTTAAGACATGAAGTTGCTTTTGCTAAATGTAATTTTCAAGTGAAATTGGTAAGTACTTTAACAGATTAATGAATGCTACTAGCAAGGTGCAAGTGTGTATTGTGGCCATGATTAATTCACTGTATCTTTTATTTTTTCAAATATGGATTGAGGTATTTTTTGTTTTACATACAGTTGACACTTTAATCAATGCTGGTAAACAGTACCACTGTACCTGTAATAAGAAAAGTTTTGTTTTTTACTCTTTGTGTTTGTTGATGTATTCTTTTTTTATTAATATTTTCAGGAGTTAAATAAATGATATATTTTGATGTCTAATGTCATGGTAAAGAAAACTATTTTTCCTTACTTTCTTAATTTCCAACAAGTCAAATAGAAATCAAAGAAGGATTTTTATCCTTTGTTATGCAGTTTATCAGTAACAGTTTGAGGTTTAGAATTGAACTGAGATGTTACTAATTTATATGTATATGTAATATTTACAGGGAAAAGTGCAAGCCTTATTTCTTCGACATGAAGGTTATCTGGGAGCTATTGGAGCTTTTTTGAAAGGAGCAGAAGAAGATGGTAATTTCTGTTTTCATGTAATCAGTGGTTGGTAGGGACTTAAAAAAATGCAGTTTGTATGTGTTTGTTTATAAACTGTAACAAAATTAAATAAAAGTAGTTGATGGAATAAGTACATCATAGTAATATAAACTATAAAAGAAACATTTTGAGGCTTTGAAAGTCCAACATGCTAGCCAACCTATTATCATGACAAACACAACAAGGTTTTTTTGCTAAGTATCAGAGATTACCCCTAAAACTTTATATCAGTTATATCTGATTATTTGTTGTGAATAAAAGTTCACATATTTATTATCATTGACCAGAAATTTTAATTGCTTAGTTTTCAGAATAAAAGCAGAGTTTCAAGAAAAAAAATTAATCCTTAAAGAATTTTTGTATGTGTTACAACAGTTATTTGATTTTTGATTATATATCTAACACAAGATATGGGAACCACAAGTTTTAAAATGTAAAACTTAAAGTTGTTTTTAGACTGATAATGCTGCTTTTAGACTAAACTATCATCTGTTATTAGGGAACTTGTAAACTAATGTAACTCTTCTAGAGTTTTTAAATAAAGTTTGCACTGGATCTCCAATTGAAACAGCTACTAAAATATGTTCTATCTCATGGATTTTTATAATGGCTTGAAACTGTTACTTTTTGCAGCATATTAGAGAAATATTTTTGTTTCTTTTTGCATTAAAAGTTTAAATTTTTTTTAAAGAATTTATAGTTTAAAAAGATTACAACCAACTAAACTACATTGTAACATAAAATCACAGAACAAGGAGAAGTGATCCATCAGAATAGCTCCTCTGTATAAATGAATCATCTTTCAGTACTTTAGTGATTTCCAAAATTAACACAGGTTTGGTAACTGACACTATTATTTCAGACACAGAAAAGTACTCTTGGGGTGAGAATTATGCAGGAAGTTCGGGTTTAAGAAGTCCAATACCTGCTCAGCTGTCTTCTCAAAACAATGCGATGGTGAGAAAATACATTATACAACATTCTATTTACATTGATTGTGAGATGGAAAAACGTATCTTTAGTAAAAGACAAAAATTTGTAATGTTTTAACCTGTAATATACATTTTTTTAAATTTTCTTTATTTCTATAACTTTTTTTGTACATGTATAAATATTTGACTGTCAAGATTCTGAACTGGTTGTTCTTATTAATATTCCCCACAGCACTATGCAAATGCTAGATTGAAAAATTCTGTATGAATGAAATCATAATACAAATTAGTTAAAAGTTTTCAACTTTGCATTTGCAACACTGGTTTAAATGTAAGTAAATAAATGTTTAATTTACAAATTTTGTAAGTGCAGAATATATACAAAATTTTAATTTTAATTTAAGAAAATCATGTTTTTCCATTTTAGCCCTCATCCTGCATCACACTTGTACCTTCTGTAATTGTGCTGTATGAATGTTTACTAATGTAAATATAATATTAGTTGGTTATGTGTTTGCTTAAGATAGAAGGTTGAAAACGAAGCCACCATTGCATTGTTACTGTAGAAAGTATGTTATTTTGTTGTTAGTACTTAGCTTACTATAGCATTATCAGTAGTTTAATTTTGTAATAAATAACATTTTAATTCCAATATGTATCAATAGTAATTTAAAGATAGAATTTTCTTTATTTGGGGTTACTGCCTAAAATGGTGCCTGACTGAGTTTGATTTGAGAAAACAAAATTGGTTCTTGAGTACTGAAAATCAATCAGTGTTGACTAGTTTTAGTGATAAATGGAAATGTACTACTCTTGAAAGTACTGTATTCAGTTATCAACATCAAATGGTAAAAGCTAAAAACTACACTAAGACTGAAGGTTTATAATGCTAAAAAATTGGTTTCAGTACTTAATAATAGGCCTATCTATATACACACTTCTCACATGAAAAAGCCTACAAGTATATGCAGGCATGACATCAGAAGATGCCATGGATTATGACAAATTAAAAGTAGCTTTACTGAAAGGATATGAAGTTACTGAAGAAGGTTTTTGTTGGAAGTTCAGAGGAGTCAAAACTGACACTGGAGAAGCTGTATTTCAGTTTGTGACATGTCTGCGGTGATATTTCATCAGATGGACTGACATGGCCACGTGTGAAAATGCTTTTGATGGACTGGCAGACCTATTTGTATGTAAACAGTTCATGACCACGTGTTCAACTGACCTGTCCCTTTTTTAAAGGGGAGAGCACCAAAAGATGTAGACAAGATGATCAAGCTGGCAGAACAGTATATGGAAGCCCATGGAAGTAGTATAACTAGCAAGTCCAAGAACGTCCAGATAAATTTGAAACCAGTAATGGCTGACCAGAAGCAGGAGTTTACTAAAGGTGACAGGAGGTTAGTAGACAGAAGGGAAAAGAGATGTTATGTTTGTTATAAAATGGGGCACACTGCAAAAGAGTGCAAGTTCATTACCAGCAAACAACAACAGAAACCTCAGCATAAAGCAGCTGGAGCCGTTTACAAAGACAGTGCTGGTAAGAAACAAGGAGAGAGTGACTGAAATTATGGATGCTGCTGCCAGAAGAAAGAGAATCAAGACTACTTGTCAAATTCAATACAGGAAAATGTGATTGATCAGAGCACAGCTAATGGTTGGCTCAAATTAGTAAATGGATCAACAGTACCAATAGTGATGGGAGCTTGTGACAAATATCAAGAGATGCCAACAAATCATAATATGCCAATATGTGAAGGCTCTGTTGGGGACAAGAAAGTGAAGGGACATGAGAAAATTTCCAATTGCAAAAACAAAGGTGGATACTTCATATTATGTAGGAGACCTTGAAGCCATATATATCAAGGAACCAATACACGACTTGGTGATAAGAAACATACCAGGTAGTAGAAACTTTGAGGAACTAGACAGAAAGAAGGTTGATGAAGTATCTGCTGTCACCAATAGAGCTTAAGAAGAGCAAACAAGTCTTTAAGCCCCTGCAAGTGTCAAAAGGTGATATCCTGAATTTAGGTTTGCAGGAATTGAAGGAAGCACAGAAGAAAGACCCTTCACTTCTCTATCTTTGGCAATGCCATTGCTTCTGGATAAGGTGTCACATAGTCGACTATTTTTAGCATATACCAGTTGCCCTTGTCAGACACAGGCGCTAGTGGCCCAATCAAGTCCACAGCTACTCTGCTGAATGCCTCTTCAATGAGAGGCATCTCCCCCAATGGCACTTTGGCTACCTTCCCTCTAGGTATTGTCCTTTGGCAGATGTCACATGACCTGCAGAATCTACTCACATCTCCAATTACTCCTGGCCAATGGAAATTACTGGTGATTCTGTCTGCCATTTTCTTTGTTCCTAGGCCTCCTACCACAATTGATTCATGAGCCAACTTCATCACTTGAGTCTGGTATTCTGTTGGTACTATGATCTGTTTAACTTCCCCAGTATAACTGCCTTGATAGATTTGGTACAGAACTCCCTTCTGGTCCTTTATTATATAAGTATCTTTCCCCTTTGTTTTGTGCCAGAGAGAGTAGCAGAAGCCCTCCTGGAGATATTTTGCAGAGTAGGCTTTCTGAGAGAAATTCTGAGTAATAGAGGGCCCAAGTTTACTTCAAAACTGATGCAGGAAGTGTGCAGACTCAGCAGTACTCGGCAACTCTTTACCACCCCGTACAATCCTAAATGTAATGGACTTTGCAAGAGAGTCAGTAGAGTTTTAAAGAGTATGCTAAAGAAGATGTGTCAAGAGAGACCACATGACTGGTACTTACAGGCAGTATTATTAACTTATCGAGAAGTCCCACAAGCAAGTACAGGATTTTCACTCTTCGTGTTACTGTATGAAAGAACAGTACAAGGTCTGTTGGAAATATTGAAAGAGCTATGGATGGGAGAAGAAGAGTCAGAAGTAAGGAACACATACCAGTATGTGTTAAACCTCAGAAACCAACTGGAGGAAACCTGTCAACTCACTCGACAGAGTTTGTATGCACCTCAAGGTAGTCAGAAGCATTTTTATGACAAGAAGGCTAAGGATCGACATTTTAAAGTTGGACAAAAGATCCACAGACCACAACAAACTCACCCTGCAATGGAAAGGACCTTTTGAAGTACAGGAAGCACTCAACAGAATGGACTACAAGGTGAATGTGAATGAGAAGAACAAGATTTACCATGCCACTCTGTTGAAGAAGTATTTTGGGAGAGAAGAAGACCTGATGGGTGCAGCTTTTGAAACAGAGATGGATGTTGTAGGTGTGGCCATCATAGATGCAAAACCAGAATACAATGACTTTGTCTTAAAAGATGAGGACCTACCAGACGAAAGACCACTAGGTGGAGATGAAACATACAAATATGTCAACATCAGCGAAGGACTGACAGACAAAGAAAATAGAGAGTTACAAGACCTACTGTACCAGTACACAGATATCTTTACAGATAAACCAGGAAAGACAGACATTGTGCAACACAAGATCGAAGTCACAACCAGGGATCCAGTCAAAGTGAATCCCTATCAGATGCCTTATACAATGAAATGGTTAATGAAGGCAGTCTTAAATAACAGATTGACTAGAAGTACTTAATGTTATAAATGAATGCATCAGACAAAATAAACATATAATGATTAGTTTGCATTGAATCATCATTTGGACAATCTTGCTTTTACTTATATTTTTAGCCATGATATCATCCAGAATGCTTTTCATGTAATGAGTGTTTGCTTCATGTGACAAAAAAAAGATCTGAACTGATTTATGGTTATTAATTTTGTTCTGATACTTACAGAGACAAAAAGAAACTCATGATACCTGGTAGAATAGCTTAAACTCGAGTTTTTTTTTCCTTTACAGTTTCATCAGCTTGAAATGGACAGATTTGATTGGCAATTGGTGCATTGTCCCCTTTTACAAGATCCTAGTAACTACTTCCCTGATACTGTAGACTTAACTCAAGATACTGAAGCTAGAAAATACTGGCTACAGTGCTTTGAAGATGCAATAGACAAGGTAAAATTATAACTTGCCAGTCTTATGCTATTTACAATAAAAATTATTAGTAAGGTTTTAACAACGTGTACTTTTTTAACAATGAGGAAGCAAGCATATACATTTTTTTAAGGGCTTCTAAAATTTTAATTCAAATATTAGATGACATTGCTGTAAATCTTTGTCTAAATAGTCTTTCTCTCTTTAAGATTAATATGCAAATATATATAAAGCCTATATTTCTGATTAGAAAGAAAACTTTGGCTTCAACCTTGTGTCAGTCTCCTCTGCTGTTATTCTTGTGACACATTTATGTCTTTAATTATTTTTTTTCATGACACTTCTGCAGGTCATACCCACATGCTTTCCAGGAATCCTGTTATGTTGAATAGTTCAGTTTGTTCACTATGATGTATTCTGTGTTTTCCATTGATGATATTTAGTGCAATTATGCCTTGTTTCCTAGTTTAATTCATATTCTTGGTTATCAATGGTCATTGGTAGACAAATGGGTGATATCCTTCAATAAATCAATGTTCTTTTAATTATCTATCTTTCAATCAAAATACCCTCTGTTATGGCTTAACAGGACAAATATTGCCATGTAAAGCCATAATTATTACTTCATTTATACTTATAAACTGTATTGAGTGCTTTTCTGGGATCTTTCCACGGACCAGTTTCATAGAATTGAGAGTTACTTTATGCAGTTATGATTTCTATCAGTTTGCAATTCTGCTGCAATTTCTACCTCAATTCCAAGGGTTGGATTTATACCAAATATTTACTTTTTCAAACTTTGAAATTAATTTTTTGGCACAGTATTGTTTGGCTTAGTCACAATCTGAAGTTTTTGAATGGTTGCAGTTGTTGTTGTTTTTTATTTCTCATTGATACACTAATTCTCAAGGCTTTCTATCCTTTTTAATTTTTGGCTTTTCCCTTAAGACTTAATTTTCGCTTCTGCTTGTTTTATGTTGTGAACAATTATTAAATGATACCATTGATGTCTGCTAACTTAGTATTGTAGATGTATACTCTTTATATCATTTCTTTTGACAACCTCTTTACAGTTATATCGACTTACCCAAATCTAGAGCCTGTTTATAGATTGTTACTACCTCTTGCACATGATTTTGTAGCCTAGTGGTTAGCATAGTGGACTGTGGATCAGTGATTGATACCCTATAACCACCAAAACAGAATCGTTCTCTGCACTTTCAGCCTAGGTGTGAATTTTATAAGAGTTTCAGTCAAATCCCACTATGCAATTAGCAAGCCCATGTCTTGACTATGGTGATGACTATCTACTTTCCCTTTAGTTAGTTCGTCATGTCAAAGTTTGGGATGGTTATCACAGATAGCTTTTGAGCAGCTCATGAAGTTCAACAAACAACTTTTATTAGAATGGAGATTCCAGTAATAATATTATAGACTATTCTAATGTTTACCTCATTGTACTGAGTAATAAAATTTGTGCTAACTTTACTACCTTCAGTACCTATTACTACAATAAGAGAGTAAAATTATACACATATTTTTCTTTTGAAGTTTTTAACATATTTTCCCTATGGTTACTTATGTAGCTTATGTTGATTTTAATGACCTACAGTTTGTGGATAGAGCTATCAAGAGTCAACCACACCATGTTGATGCTCAGGAACGTGCAGAAAAGTTTTGCAAAAAGTATGTGAGTCGTCTTCATCACCTGAGGTGCCACCCTTTGTAAGTACTTAAAATTATTAACAATCTATGAAAAATACTATTTAAGTAAATTCATTACCCTTTCTAGACTAGAGGGGATATTACTGATATCATTTTTCCTTCTCACAACAGAAATACTTAATCAAATTGTATTGAACTTTGTGAATCTTATGAAGCCACTTCAGATCATCTTGGGTAACTGATAAAAAAGAAAAAAAAGTTTCACTTCTAAACTGAAATTTCTTGATTTATGGTTTCTTGTTAGTTACCCAAATAAAGCTGAAGTTTTTTCACAAGTTTAGAGAAATTCTTAGTTTCTCTTGTCAGATATGTTAATCCTATTGCCCCGGGTACCCTTTACTGCACATGACACAAGGTTTTAGTGTCTCACATTCAAAATTTTATACCAGTTAGAATAACATAAAATCTTAGCTAATAATCCATATTTTAATGGTATACAAGTTTTAAGCTGTTAATTCTGCAAGACAATATTTTAAAAAATCCTGAATTTCCACTAGTGTGACCCACATGACACATTTTCTCTTAGCATCTCATCATCCCTATTTTATCCACCACCCCTTGAAAAATTCTGTCACATCCTCTCTTTCAGGATTCGTTGTTAGTTCTCTCTTACGTTTCATTGTATCTTACCTATAACCAATAGAAAGTCAAGGTTTTCATCTATCAAATGACATATTGTATAAAGTTGTGTTCTGAACAGATAATCGTTAATTTCATTCAGAGTATAAATATTGTTCCTGTCGGAAAGTTAACGACTAGCTTGGATAAATTAGTTAGAAAGCCAGGAAAATTTTGAGAGGAAAGTGAATTTGTCTACTTTTTGCATGTTATTAGACTATATTTTTTGGTGCATTATTTAATTAAATAAAAATTAAGTGCGTTACTATTAGTACTATAAAAATTAGTCTTAACTGTTATCGACAATTGAGTGCAAGAAAAAAGAAAATTGGGTAAGTACTTTATTTCTAGTTTTTCTTATTTATTCTTTATTTATTATTATAAAAGTAACTAAAATCTAAAAATATGGATCTTTTTAAGTTATTTAAGACTAGATTAGGTAAAATAAGTAATAATAATATAATTAAAATTGTTCACAAGGCACATGCAAGCAGCTCATGGGTAATGTAATTCGATAAGGTAGCGTGAGCTGCATGTTCCCAGAGTGGGTTACAACTTATAATGGTGCGGATAGTAGTTAGACATGGTTCAAAGGACAATAAAACAATAAAATTTAATTATAAATAGATGTTTACTGTTACAAACTTAGAGATACTTAGGATAAATGAATTTAGTTTTGTGTTACAATTTGAAGTTATTCTAGAAAGAAAAAAAGGGTAATTTAGGTTTATTTCAATTTTTTTTTGGTGGTTACGAGGTTGGTCAATTTGACCAATCCCAGTTTGCGATAGGGTAGAGAAAATAACAGATAAACTATAAAGTTATACTGAAAAAAAATAATTGAAATACATCTAGGAGGTTTTAGGTATTACACAAAGGAAATTTGAGATTTTTGAGATGAGGAAAACTATTTTAAATTTTAACATGAAAATTACTTTGCAATCAAACTATTCAAAACAAATACTCAATATATTAATAGACAAATCTTTATTTATTTTATTAAAAATACTTCAGTAAAAATATGATTTGTTGTATGTGAAAGACTTACAATATGAACTGAAAGACTGCCAAATTTTGTGAAGATATACACACGATACTGAAAGTTAGAAGTACTAAATGTATAAAGACTTTAATTGAGTACAAAGAGGTCACTTGGTTGGTCAAATTGACCGAGCCCATGTTGAGAGAGTTAAACTTAATATAAACTTTTGGGTTGTGAAACTTTCCAAAGTTTGATGTGAAATACTTCCTTTTATCTTGGAATTTGATCAGATAGTTTCATCTCCTTTGATATTTGTTACTATATTTGTTTTGGTACCTTATTTTACCATTTGAAGTAATCACCCCTACCAACTATAAATCATAAAAAATATTGTAAAAATTGACAAATTTATCAGTGATGTCAAGACCAGTTTTCAAAATAGCATTACCATTACGTTTATCAGTATATTTACAAGTATTATGATTTTGTAGATGATATTCTTGGTTGAGGTTAATTTATATTTAATAAACTAGCATAGAGTCCATCAAAAATGACGGGGCAAATACTACCACTCTCACCTTATAATATACTCTAACCTTGCATTTCATAGCTAACTGAAGTAAATAAATTTTGTGAAATCAAGCGTAACCAACAAAGAGGCAGAAAAGTACAGTCAAGGCAGTCAAATGTTGGTAAATTCCTTTGTGAGCCAATCAAAATTAAGATCATTCATGAAATGAATTCATGGCATATTCATAGAATAATTATTGTTAAAATCAGTTAAATTAATAACTTATAATATATAGAAAAGCCAGTGCTTTTGGTAACACTACATTCCAACAGTGGCTTTTATGTTATGTTGCTTAGCAACAAAAGTATATCCTAATATTGTTGTTGGTCTATGTACTGAAAGTATAAAATGAAATGTATAGACAACAAAACTGGAAAAATATTTGTTGATTTCTTAACTTAGTCTCCGTTGATTAAAGAGGTTTATTTTTTATTGAAAATGTTGATGATATAACAGAAAATAGCTTAATTCAGAAACAATTTGAGTTTAAAATTGAATCTATTTGTACTTTCATGATAAATTTAATGCACTTGGCTCTAGACTAGGTGATCCCACACTACATCTTTTCTGTAGTCTTATTATACCAATACTCACTATACTTATAAGATTTCATGCCCCCCTCTTCCCTTCATGGCTCCCTTGCACCCCTGTTACTAAAATCATAGTGTGCAGACAGTATTTGAACTATTTTATCTGGATAAATGCATTTTGGATTTTATGACTCCTATTTTGAGAAATCAAGCATGATGTGACACGTACTGGCTTTTACATAGGTTAGATATAGTTTGGTTTCAATAAATAATAAATTATAAATGATAAACTTAATAATATATTTAGCAAGGATCATACTGAACTGAATAATAAATTCAAAAATGCAATAACAACAATGTTTATAGTAGGCAATTTCTCATTTTAATAATTACGACATTTTGACCCATAGTACTGAGTCATCTTCAGGTAAGTTACTTGAAATTGTTTCCAAATGCTGTAATTATTAAAATCAGAACTTTCCTACGGTAAAAGCTATTGTTAATGTATTTTTGAAATTTAACAATAGTATTCATTAAAAAAACAATTACTGTATTCACTAAATCTAATTAAGCATATCTAATTTCTTATTGTAGAAGCAAATTTCTTTAACCTTTAAACATGTATAATTTAATGCAAAAACATTTTCAGATTTGAAAAGAAAATCAGTGCATTAGATTCCTTTGTTCACCGCAATGAAATATCTGTATAACCAGTATGTTGACAAATCACATATTACAGCTAAAAGCACTATTTGTTTATATTGAGTTAGTTAACAGTTTTTTTTTTTGTCCAGTTGTTTTTAACCATCAGCTCTAGCTATTTTCAAAGCTGAGGTTTGTTTAGACCACATGCTGTGACATCATAAAATGATGACAATGAAGGGCTATAATAATAAAACCACTAAAATAGAAGGGAAAATCAGATGAAAATCTGACATGAAATATTATATTTCTAAGTCTCTTAACTACATACCTATACTTTGGGATGGGTAGAATTTTATAAAATTATATATTCATTATTTATTGAAGAGACTTATCAGGCTGCACAAAAATGAAAGTTATAACATTCAAAATATTTTCTTTGTGAACTGTACTAAATAAATATTATATAATGGTAAACAGGGGCGGATTGGGATGGCTAAGCGGCCCGGGACTGGGATCACAGAGTGGCCCTGGACAGGTTTTCTGTTAAACTTTTTATTCCGATGATTTACCGCTCTCAAAACTCACGCGACGTCCCTGTTCCGCATTGTT